TCCTCCTGCCTCAGCCTCCCAAGTGGCTGGGACTACAGGTGTGCACCACCATGTCTGGCTAATTTTTAAAAAAAAATTTTTGTAGATACAGGGTCATGCTTTTGCCCAGGCTGCTCTGGAACTCCTGGCCTCAAGCAATCCTTCCGCCTCAGCCTCCCAAAGTGCTAGAATTACAGGTGTGAGCTGCTGTACCTGTCTAGAAATTCTTTTATTCTACTAGTTTGCAGAAATTTTAACATGAATGTATGACAAATTTTGTCAATGTTTTCCTACACCTATTGAGATAATCATATAGATTTTCTTTCTTAGTCTGTTAATGAGGTGACATTGATTTTTAAAATTAAGTTGTAAGCTACACTTTAACCTATAATTTTTTGAAAGTTTCTTTTCTCATTTTTTAGATTAAGATACAATTTAAATACAGTAAAGTCATCATGTTTAGTGTACATTTTCTTTAGTGTAACAAATCTTGACAAATGTATAGTCATGTAATCATTACCACCACAATCAAGATGTAAAATAATTACATTACCCTCCCTCCCACATCAAAATTTCCCCACATTTCTTTTATAGTTAATCTTCTACCCTGACAACTATTGATGTTTTCTGTCCCTATAATTTTGCCGTTGCAAGAATGTCACATGAATGGAGTAATACGGTATGTAGCCTTTTATTTCTGGATGCTTTTACTCAGCATAATGCACAGGCATTTCATCCCAGTTGTTTCATTTACCAATAGTTGGTTCTTTTCTTCCATTGGAATATTACGGTGGTATGTAGATTTTAAGAGAAGAGAGCAAGATTGAGTTAAAGATTGAGTTAAAACCATCTAGGACTCAATTAGCAAGTTGAGAACATGCTAAGACAGTGGAGAAGTTACAGAGTGAGATTTGTAGTAGGCAGCATTCCAGACAGTTAGGTTTACCCATAAACCAGTTTTGAACTTGCATCTGGAACAAAAGGGAAGATAAGGGTAGTTCTGGAATTAGATTCTGAGAGAACAAAGGAAGTCTTCCCACAAAGTGATATATCTAGTGTGAAGAGGTTTGAATGACTTGTACCTCCAGGAGGCAAATCTTGGAAAGAGCATTGCAGGCACATGAAATCCCAACTTACACAGCCATGAGGTGGGATTCTAATGCCAAGAGTAGTTTATAGGTAAAGAAACTAATTGGTAAGATCAGCTATTGGAGTTTTTCCAGGCTAAAATCAATTCTGCAGTACCATGCGGCCAGGAGACAGGAGGCTCTGGGATCTCATGAGTACTTGTAGCTTAGCACCAGTTGATGAGAAAAATGTTGATCCTTTTTTCAGATCCCATTGTTGGCCCCTGTGAAAACTGGTGAAGCTTTTATATGAGAGAGTATGTGAACTGAGAGGACAGCTCAGCTGGGTTCACATCTGGCTTCAAAGGCTCAGTAGGTTCATATGTGAGAGAGACTGTCTCTCTCAGAAACTGCCGGGTTTTCTACTCTGGTTTCTCACATTTTCCCCTGATTAGGCAAATTGGGAAGAAATTTACCAGGCCATATAGTCTTAGTTTCTCATGGAAATGAACTGAATGATTAAATTAAATATTAGTTATGTGCTGTAGATATCTTTGTGGGCATCATTGGATAGGGTCTTTTGAAGAAAAATCTGTTAGTTTTTTCAACATTACAGTTATGGAGAACTTTAATTTTAATAAGCAATGATCTTTTATAGGTAAATTCACCAAAACTCTTCTCCATAAATTGCATAATTTATTATTTCCATATAATTTTGTATATTTTATAATTCATTAATTTCATAACCTATAAATTCCATAAAAATAAAAGACTCTCTAGATGGCTTTCCATTTTTCCTATTGATGTTCATTTCTGTCTTAGAAGCCGGGAAGCTGAATGACACAATATGTACTTTTAGCAAAGCATGATAGCATACCTGTGTGAGAATAGTCAGAACCAAAATGGAGTCACTAGTGTTTAAAGAAAAAAAGGAAAGAAAAGAAAAAAAGACTCAAAAAAGCTGACAGAGATAGAAAAGGACATGAAGAGAGGGTTCTCATGCTTGTATGCCTGATAACAATAACTATCACAAAATATTCTGCAAAAACCATAATCTTGCACAAAGGTCATCACAACCTTACACAAAAAATACTTTTGCAAGGACTTCTGCCCAGCCACTGCCTGCCCAACCTTGGACTGGTGTTACCCTTGTTACTGATCTTTGTAACAAAGGATAATTATTTCAAAACGATTATGTAACCCTCCTCATTTTTTCCTTTAAAAACTTTTGTCTTCCTTTACCTCTCTGAATACACACATAGTTTACTAGGGCACTCATATTCCTATTGCAACACTTTATTCCCAAACATCATTTTCTTTTACAGTGCCTCTCTTTGTTAGATTGTCACCTGTAAATGGAATGTTAATTTCATTAAAAAAATTTTTTGGGGGGGAGTGTTGTGTTTCATTTATTTATCCCACTATTATTGTCCAATATAATGAGCCACTCAATTCCCAAATATATATACGGACACAAAACACCTCTCATGTTTTGCGTCTAGAACATTTGTGTCTACCCAACATTTTCCCTGTCCTTCAGAAAGGAGACTCACAATGCTTCCAAGATGAACTGGGGCAGTAATTAATTCTTCTAAGCAGTAGGCGCCCCCCTCTTCAACCCAATTGTCTATGTTTGGGATAACTTTGTTATCATCCACTTTCCATACCTTCAATAGAGAGAGGAGGCGCTTTGCTAAGCCGACAGGATAGCTGAACAACAGCAAATAACGGAGATGGTCTTATCTCTAATATCTAAGGGAGCAGGATACAGAATACTAGCGGTGGGTTTTTTCCAATTTTAATTTTTTAATGACCTATATGAAACACTTACATAATAAAAAGCACAGCTCTTAAATATTTAAGATAATTAAATTTTCATATACTCGTATAAGCACTGCCCCAATCAGTTTTAGATCATCTCTATAATACCCTTGAAACTTCCTGTTTACCTGTTTTCATAAGAAATAGGAATATAATAACAAAAAAACATTAAATAAGCAAATATTAAAGTTTCCAGAGACATGATACCGAGGTCAGAAAGCTAATGCCAAGATCCTTCGATAGCTCAGTTGGTAGAGCGGAGGACTGTAGGTCAGTTTGGCTGATGGCCATCCTTAGGTCGCTGGTTCGAATCCGGCTCGAAGGAGCTACCTTTTAGAGTGAGCTTGGAGTCTGACTCAGCGCTGTTCTTAATAAGGAAATTTAAAGGAACATAGTGAAGCAGTAAATTAAAAAGACAAAGAAAAAACTCAAGTATACGTACGCAGGAAACTGCAAACAATGGATTGCTTCAAAACATGGAGACAGACTAAGTTTTTCACTTTTTGCCGAGTTGAGAAGGGATCGTGAGCAGTGTGGGCAACGGGAAGGACACTCTGCCCCAAGGTTTTTATTTTAACTTTTTTGTAAGTTCGACGGTCTCTTTAGGATTTCCTGTTCTATTGATACTTAGAGTGAACAAAAAGTTTATAATAACAATTTTAAACATACACAACGTAGAGAAAATAGCATAAAGAATTACTATTTAGCCATCACGCTGGCACAGCACTCTTGCATCATCTACTACTCACATGCTCCTCCCCTAGTTCCGGATCTTTTTAGGCGAGCTCAAGGTGTGCTTTCATTTCATTCACTGTTACTGTGTTTTGAAGATGTTGGTGTTAAGAATTAAAAGGTAGGACGGAATCTATTCCTTTCACCGCATCCCTCCCCGCTCCCCCCAAACAGGGCAACTAACAGAAAGTTCTCTTCAATAATGAATGAAACAGGCGTGTGAGAATTCGAGGAGTCTAGTCAATACACTAGAGCCAGATGGGAAATTTTGTCAGGTCGCAGCAAGGGAGGATTTATACTGGTCGTCTTCAAACTCCTTCCAGAAAGCCAACCGGATTATTTGTTCGCGGCTCCCAGGCGCGGCCTTTGCAGGCTGACAGGCGGCGGGTAGGGGTCAGAGGAACTGAGGCTCCTCAAGGGTGCGGATGGCGCCCCCTTGTGGGCACGTCATCGGGTGACCGGGACCGACCGAGGCCGAGCGTCCGCTCTAAGAAAGTGGCCCCCGGCTTGGTGTAAGGATAGTCAGCCCTGCAGCCAGGCCGGGCGGGACCGCTGAGACCTAGTATGTTATGCGGTTGCATGGGGCACGGGAAAAAGCGGGTTTGTGGTCTGAGGGAAAATCTGTGATGACAGGCCCAGGGAGAGCAGAACTAAGCGCACCGCCCGGGGATAGACTGATTTGGGGTCATGTATGCATCTGACAACATGTATTTGCAATATCAATATACATCTGGATAATACGTCAACATACACGTATTAACAAGCCCCAAATAAGTTCTTTAAATAAAACAGTCACATTTAAATTTTTAGTCATTCACAAAATCTAATTAAAAAAAAATTTTTTTTGGAGACAAAGAGTCTCGCTTTGTTGTTGCCCAGGCTAGAGTGAGTGCCGTGGCGTCAGCCTAGCTCACAGCAACCTCAAACTCCTGGGCTCAAGCAATCCTGCTGCCTCAGCCTCCCGAGTAGCTGGGACTACAGGCATGTGCCACCATGCCCGGCTAATTTTTTCTGTATATCTTAGTTGGCCAATTAATTTCTTTCTATTTATAGTAGAGACGGGGTCTAGCTCTTATTCAGGCTGGTTTCGAACCCCTGAGCTCGAGCAATCCGCCCGCCTCGGCTTCCCAGAGTGCTAGGATTACAGGCGTGAGCCACCGCGCCCGGCCTAATTCAAAATATTAACCTAAATTAAAAGTTCACAACTTAAATTTTCAAAAATTAAATCTAATTAAATTTTCAAAATTAAATTTGCAAAGTTAAAGTAAATTTTCAAAATTTAAACTCTAACATTTACGTTCAATTTCCAAAAATAATTAAAACTTCAAAACTTAAACTTAATTACATTAAAAAATGAAAGTTTTTAAGTTTTAAACTTTAAAAGGTGAGTCATCCCTCAAGCAGAGTTGCACCCAGGTCTCTCAACTAGAATGCTATTTTGATCGCTAGAACAGTCTTCTCCCAAAATTGTTCTGCAAAATTCCCGGAAGAGCCGGCATCAACCCGCCTTTTTAGTGCCTCAACAAAGCGTTGAGGGGTAGGTTACACACGGAGGATCTGCCTCTTCCGGTTCTGCCTCTCCAGTTCGGGAGTACAACTCGGAGTAACGTTTGGCTATCCCGAGCTTTGCACCCCGCTCCCACTCTCTAAACCTCACTTCTGCCCTCTCCATTCTGTCTTCTTTTGGACCCGCCTGCATCGCCCAATCCTTTCTTTGCGTCAGTCTTCCCACCGCCTCAGCCACGCCCCCTCGCCGCAGGCCGTCGCACGCTATGTGCGTCAGTCGGCACGGCGCTTTACGGCAGTCGTGCTCCCTGTTACCAGACAGCATGGAGGCAGAGGAGTCTGACAGTGCAGCTACGGAGCAAGAGCCGCTGGAGAAGATAGACCAGAAACTAGAGGAGGAAGAGGAGCAGGAGGAATCCGAAGAAGCAGCAAGTGGCAGCAAGAAGCGGGTAGTTCCAGGTATTGTGTACTTGGGCCACATCCCGCCACGCTTCCGGCCCCTGCACGTCCGCAACGTTCTTAGCGCCTACGGTGAGGTTGGACGCGTTTTTTTTCAGGCTGAGGGTAAGTGCGCAGGCCCTGGCGGTAAAGGGTGAAGGGTAGAGGGTGGTGTTATTGACCGGTGGGCGCGCATGCATATCATGTGGCCTTGTCTGCGCTGGGCTGAGGCGCAAGCTGGTAGCGTTTGGGCGGGTGGCTGTTAAGTTGGTCTGTGAGGAATCTGGGGCGGGTGGATGGGGAGGATTATTACCGTTTGCGTTTTAATCCCCGTTCTTTCCACCTCTCTTTTCGGACCCGTTTACTGTTTTGTTAAATGGTTACAACCTGAGTAAAAGTCTCAGCGGCCTTTCTACAAAACTGAGCACATCCCTTTGGCATTGCGGCCCAGGTCAATAAACAGTATTTGATCATCTGCCTTTCCTAGCCCCTTGCAGGCACTAATTGGTGCTGGGGGCTTGTGCAGGTTTTAAATAGTTTCAGGGCAGGCCACATTAAGGAGTTGAGATTTGAGGAAAGCATTTAGACAAAGGAAAGGATGCATTTCACAGTTCTCTCACTTCCGGGCAAAGACTTTGAGGTGGAACTCCAACCAGTTTTATAGAATGGTGTGGCCAGTGGGAGATGTGTTCTTGTGGGTGTTGCCTCGGCATCTTGACTGTGGCTCTGTTTTTGGTGAGCAGACCGGTTCGTAAGACGCAAGAAGAAGGCAGCAGCGGCCACGGGAGGAAAAAAGCGGTCTTACAGCAAGGACTACACCGAAGGCTGGGTGGAGTTCCGTGACAAGCGTGTAGCCAAGCGCGTGGCGGCCAGTCTACACAACACGCCTATGGGTGCCCGCAGGCGCAGCCCCTTTCGTTATGACTTATGGAACCTTAAGGTGAGGAGATAGGTATCTCTGACTCACCTCTCATCCTTGCTGCTTTCCAACCCTGGCCCAAGCACCACCATAGCCTCTTATTGACCCTGTCCTTCGCCTTATCTTTGTCTCTGATCTGATGCCCTGTTCTGATGTTTTCTTGTCTTACTGCCCGCAGTATTTGCACCGTTTCACCTGGTCCCATCTCAGTGAGCACCTTGCCTTTGAGCGCCAGGTGCGCCGGCAGCGCCTTAGAGCGGAGGTTGCTCAGGCCAAGCGTGAAACTGACTTCTATCTTCGAAATGTGGAGAAGGGACAACGTTTCCTTGCTGCTGATGGGGATCCTGCCCGCCCTGATGGCTCCTGGGCATTTGCCCAACGTCCTACTGAACAGGAGCTGAGGGCCCGGAAAGCAGCTCGTCCAGGGGGACGTGAACGGGCTCGCCTGGCTTCTGCCCAGGACCAGGCCCGCTCCAACCGAGGGCTCCTTGCCAGGATCTTTGGAGCCCCACCACCCTCAGAGAACATGGAGGGACCCTCCCCGGTTAGAGACTCCTGAAAAGCAGGGAATCCCCTTTCATCTCTTGGCCCTGCCCGTCTACCTCATACTAGAGTGATAATGACCACCCAGGCACATAATTTTATTGTATTTCTTAGATCAAGAGTCTCTGATGAGGGCTCAGACATGGAGATCTTGTGGGCTTCTCCTCTCCCCCTAACTCCTATATGCTTGGCTGAGTCACCTAATTCATACGAGCACGATTATGACTATTGCAGAGGTCTGTTTTGTTTGACTTTTGGCTGCTTGCCTCCAGCCCAGTGGAGTTCCCTAAAAATCCTACTTACTGACATCAGGAAGGGCCTTATTTGCAACTAGAGTGATAATGCCTTATCCAGGCAATTTTGTTCTATTTAGCAACTACAGGAAAGGGCAGCAGCAGCAGCAGCATCCTTTTTATTTAGAAAAAGTTAACAGGTACAGGAATTAGTAGGGTGGGACTGGGTTGGGAACCACTTTCCAAATGTATTTATAGAAAATAAAATATGTGTTTTCAAAGAAAATACATATATACTGTTTTAGTTTCATGGTTAGGGGTCATTGGGCAATTTTAACTTTTATTTTCCTTTTGTTCCATTCACCTTCATTCCATCTCCTGGTCTTAGAGTTCCCTATTTAACCTGGACTTTTTTTCCTATTTCTGTCTATTTAATTATGAGCCCAGTTTATCAGTTATCTAATTAAGCATTTACTAAGCCACTGTGTGAGGAAACAGTGTCAGTGGGTAATAACATGTGGCCCTTGGCATTAAGATATATGCTACTAGAATAAGGGAGAGAGGCATCATGATACATGTGTATAAGAGGTGGAGTGGGGACTGTAGCAGGACATGGAGTGCTCTCATGGTGAACCTGATACATGATCAGTCTTTACCAAGGTTTCCAGGTCATTCCTGGAATGTGAACTGAGAGAATGACAGCAGAATCCTGAAAGAACCTAGTGTGCTCCTACAGTTGCAAACAGTGCTTCATGAATGGAGTGTTGGGTTGGAACAATTGTAAAGGTGGTCAAAGCCTAGGAGGGGAGTCAGGAACAAATGCCCTGCAGGTGCTCTTATACGTATTCAGTTTTAGACAAGGTAGGGTTCACAAACATGCGTGCAAAGCAGCCCTATGGCTTCAAAGAGTAAGTGAAAGTCACTAAGAGGTCACAATAAACTAAAAAATCTAAACACAGTCTCATGTAGATTAAAACTCTCATCATCATCATCCAGGCTGTTAAATTCAGGAAGTAGTAGAGTGTGATTATGGTTATTGGATTTTGCTTGTGCTGTTTTAGTTTCTTTTAAAAAAATTTTCCCCAGTGTGCCAATCCATGTGGTTTTTTTTTGGGGGGGGGTTGGAGTGGATTTATCCACTTCTTTAGCTGTAAAGTATCCCTGCCACATTATGATCTGAACTTGATGGGTGCACTTTATTTGGAAGAGTAAAAATGTCCACACTGTAAACCTTGGTAAAACATTTCCCACAGCCCACATACTTATACTCAGCACACAAAGTACATCTCCACTTCTTAGGAACTTGATATCCTTGTTTCTGTGTTCATTTCTTGTGGGTTTGTTTCATGTGGATTGTTTCCTCAGGTCATGATGTAAAATGAACCAGAACAATCCAACATCAGAATTGCAAAGCCGGTACATTCACTTATTCAGAATTCCAAGTGCCCATTGCTACCTCTGCTACTTAAAGATATAGCAAGGTGAAGAAAAAACTTTTCTGTCTCTCAATTTGCTAATAGTTAGAAAGTACAACAGAAATACTAGAGTTTAATGAGACTTCTTTGAATTAAGAAAGGAATAGTGTTCCCATGTTGGGCTGTGTTAGGTATCAATTGATAGACTCAAGGATCAGCATCTCAGGCTGCACTTCAAATAAGTATGTACAAAGAGCTCACCCCTACTGCCAGGAAACCTGGGTAAGTCACAGGCAGAGGAATGAGAATAAATGGGTGCAAGAAAATTTCCCAGGAGCTTTAATCTTGATTTCCCCCATTGAGGGCGGGAAAATGATTTTCTTTTACAGTGACAATTTTGTTTCCATTAGAGCATACTTTGTTTTTTACATGAGTTATTTAATGTATAAGCATACGATGTTGTTATTCCCTTATTAAAGCTGAACTAAGAGATATGACATAATTTGCCACTTATTTACCTTTTGTTCCCATTTGTTCCAAATGCCTTTTCTAGGCATATAAATGCTTATTGCATATGATGAGTGTTTATTGCATGAATCTTGTAATGGACACATAGACTAGAGAGTCAAATTTTATTTTAACTAAGACCAAGAGTAGCAAGCTGGGTGATTTCGGTCATGATCCTGTGATTCAGGATCTGATTCAACTTTGTTCCACACCCAACTGAGAAGCTGGAACTCTGCATTTGTTGGCAATAGAGTGGGCTGTTTTCTTTCCAAGTAGAATGAGGAAGCAAGTCTGTCAGAGTAAGGGGGCTTTAATAGGGCACGTCTGGGTGCCTTGTGAACTTAGTCCTAAAAACTTCAAGAAAAATGTTTACAGCCACTTTTTCTCAATTTTCTTTGATTCCTCATGCAACTTTCTTCCTGAAATTTGTCTTGTCATGTTACAGTAGGGTTACAAGGGAAAAAAACTTTGGTATAAGCCTTAAGGATGTGCTCATGCTCCCTAGGATGGTGAATATGAATTTTAGCAGATTGCTTACAACCTGGTATTAGAACTCTTGCCCTTTTTGAGGGTGTTGGCAGCTGTAATCCCAGCAGATGTGATAATTTTCTACTTTGGTCAATTCTGTCCGCTTCTCCCAAGACCACACAGAACTGAGACTGAATAACACCTAGCCAGAGGAATGGAAAGAAACGGCTCAGGTTGTGTGCTTTTATAGCAGGGCAGAAGTTAGCATGAAATACCCAGGGAAAGATTAAAGGGGAGGAAGGGACGGAAGCACTTCAGGAGCTAATCCTCCAAGCAAGAAAGAGCGGCTTCTACAGGTTGTGTCTTCCTGGGAAACCAGCGCGAGGGCTAGACTGATGCAGGACTTCACTCAGGGCCTCACAGGTCCCATGCAGGATTGTCACAAGAGATTTGGAAATTATAATAGAGACAGAGATAAAGTATAGTTTACAGTGATGGGGGAGTTGGGTCCTCCAGCACTAGACCTCATCCCTGGACACGTCTGAGGGCTCCAGTGAATAAATCGGCCCCCCACGCAGGTTCATGTCCACTCATCTCCTGGAGGGACTATTGCAGCTTCAGCACAATTTCCCAGGCCCCAATGTGATCCAACTCCTGGCCTTGCTCTGGCTTGGAATTTAGAGAGGACTGTGTGTTTCCATCTGTTGTAAGCTCAATCCATTTAGGAATAACTAATTTCACTGTAAAGATTCTCAGTGAAAACTTTCAGAACAGTTTGTTAAACAATTTACCACATTTCTTGAAGTGGAGAAGTGTACTTTTGGGGCACTTCCTATGCATACATAAATAGATGGCAAAATTGTAACATGCTTTTTGGGGAGCACAACAGTACAATTTGATGCTACTGCATAGTCTTTTTAACCACTGAATGGGCCTTCATTATATGATTAAACCAGGACATTTTAGCCATACACTAACTGGGATATTTAGGTTATGTCCGATTATTGACCATTATAAAAATGCTGTCCTGAACATTCCTGTACATGTATCATATTGATGGGTATAGGTTGAATATGTCTGCAAGATAGAATATTAAGACTGTAATTTTGGCTTAAGTGGCATTTACATTGTAGTTATTGGCAGGAACCGTTAAATGTGTTGGGACAATGGTGTATGACAGGGATCTTTCTCCATAGTTTTGCCAACAATGATAATCAGAATTTTCAGTGAATGTTTTGGTGATTTGTTTTGTCTATTAAATGTCCTATTTGACACAAAGGTGTTTTCTACTGCATATCCAGCACTTCAGTGTTATCAGCCACATCATGGTGCTCCCTGTACATCTGTCAAATGAATGATCACTGGCTGCAGAAGGGATTCCCAAGCACAAAACGACATTCAAAGAAAAAGGGGGATATAGTTGAAAAAAGTTTATCATTTTAAATATTTTAAAATTAAAATAAGCAGATATTTTAGCTTACAATAAGTTTGCATGTACTTCTTTATTTCTTAGAACTGTTTTAGATTAATAAAAATTGTGAAGACTAATCTCTTTATGAGGGATCTGCCTCCATGACCCAAACACATCTCACTAGGTGCCACCTCCAACTTTTAGAGAATCAGATTTCGACATGAGGTTTGGAGGGGACAAATACTCAAAACGGAGCAGGGTCCAATTAGAGTTCCATACAAAAGGCTTCGCCTTATTTTTAGTTATGTAACACAACTTTCCCAGACAGGCAATTAAGACCAAGAGTCCTGAAAATAAGAGGGTTGCAGAGAATTTGAAATAAGTACTCTAAGAGTTCACTCTTTACCTTATTAGGCTCTAATTATCAATTACTTGGTGCTATCGGTCATTACCAGTGGACCTCCATATCCCTACATTTTAAGTTTCCTTTGTCAGAAGGAAAAGGGATTCCCTCTGCAAGGCTTAACTGCTTTCAGCCTCTCTTGCCCATCAAAATCCAAATCCTTCCCTGGGTAAAATGATGACACAAGCTAAAGTTTTGGGCACATGGAAACTTTAACTGTACTGAGTTTGTTTCTTTTCTCCAGAAGCAATTAAAGAGCATTTAGAGAACCACTTGTGTGTACTGGATACCACCTTTCCCTTTCTACCTCTCTAGAGACATTGGGGCATCATTTATCTTTCAGTTACTTCTAGGAGACATAACTAGTATTTTTCCCAGAAATACTTCCCACCACAGTCCACTTCACTGTTGGGATGTTGCATCACTGTAAGTTAGGAGAAAAAAAGTAAGAAGGCAGCAGGCCTTGTTCTGTCCACACCACTGTACAAAGAACATCAGGAGGAAAAACTAAACTTGTAGCTGTAGCAGTTTCCCTTCTCCTTTTCATCTATCCATCATATCTCCCTCTTATCCTTTTTCACAATGAAAGCCACTTAAAACCCTGGGACCTATTCTGATGACAGGGCAAATGGATATAAACTGGGGCAGACTTTAGAATGGGAGGTAAGTCAGTGCAACCATTGTTATACTACTTCCCTCACCCAACCCTAATTCATCAAATGATAAGAAGAGAAGAATTGTAATCCCAAATGTGGACTCTACTGGGAATTGCAAATTCAAAATATTCCCTAGAGAGTGTCAGTTATTCAAACAAACAAAAACCACATAAAAACACAGATGGTTCAGCTTCAGGTAGAAAAAAAAAAAAAAAAAAACAAAACACAGATGGGTTTGTTGCTACTGAATTTGAGCAGGGCTCTGAGTATGGTCAGTTCAAATGATTACTCCTCCTCCCTGTGCTATTTATGTAACGCAGTGAGGTGGGTCCAAAAGGATCTGATGTCCACAGCAGAGCATGAACAATATGCTTTTCAGGTTCCTATTCTTCTCTGCCTCAGCATCAAAAATTCCTGGATTTCTAGAGATGGTCCAGTGATTATCTCCACCACCAGGCCTAAGCATCACATGAATATCCACTTTATTCTCATGCAAGCGTAGGGGAAATACTGTTTCTCTTAGTACAGTGGAGACAAAAATGGAGTTTTTCAGAATAAATGTTTATTTAAGAATTAAGGGCAAACAAAAACATTAAGGTATAGGAATACATCAACTGAATACAATTTGTCTCATTTGGTCTGAAATCTTGAAAAAGTTACTCTAACTACTTACCTGAGGTAGATTTAGGTTGGCACTGCTTAAAGGGAACCTTCATCCATCCCAGAAGTTACCTTCTAGTTTTGGTTACAGGCTCCCAAGTGGTCCTCTCCAACCTCAGGTCATGCTATATGAATAATACCAACACCCTTCTCTCCCATGGTTAAAAGCTCTCAGACCTATTTTATACCCCCAAAGTTCTCTGTTTGAGGGATGGTCCTTCGTTAATTTACTTAAAGACTAGAAACAATTACCAATAAGATTAGTTGAAAGAAGGGGCAAGTCATTGCCCTGCTAATGATACCAACTTTGTCCCCTTCTCCAAGTTTCTCTCTAATGATTAACAAGTAGTCACAGGACTAATTTTCATTACCACCATGCCTTACACCCCATACTATTTTAAGTGTTACAACTGTCAAACATATACTAGTGATAGGCATGATTTTCACCAAAGAGAAAAAAATACATCTTTTGTGTTTTATCATACTGGGCAACTTTTCATGGTATAAGAGCTATTTATAAAAATTACTGAAACACGTCAGATCAAATAAACTTCCAGGATCTGTTTTCTAAAAGAAAAAAATATCCTAGAATCAGATTCCTTATCACTATGATCTAATATTGACTAGCCCTAAGATTATCATGATCATTAATGAATTATTAGGATCAAAGCTTAGAGCCATATACAAGGTAACAGTGTAGCAGCTGGCCAACTTCATGAATCCAAATGCCAATACTCTGTGGAGTTTAGGGATCTGCTAGGATAAATGAAACCAAAACCAGAGAACTCAAACTAGCAACAAAGTATTTATTCACCAGTCTACAGAGTTCCAAATACTGTAGGAATCTTAAATGTCTTTTAATCTGAGGGAAGAAAAAAACTGAGAAGTGACCACTGATAGATCTCTGGATTAATTATAGTATTTCTAGAGAATGTTAAAGACAATCATAATTATCCTGTTAAACTGGAGACAAGTGCTTATCCTTAAACTTCTGATGACTCTGCCAACTACTTTTTCCTTCTAAGCATTTAGAATCTTGCATTCCAAGCCAAATATATACCTTATATTGTGGTGATGGCAATCCTTTCCCTGTGATTAAAAGGTATTTTCTCTTTCCTTGGCAGAACTGAAATAAATGAAAAATGTATCATTATGGGGCTTGAATTGCTATAAACAGCAGGATAATGGAGGGAAAAGAACACCAGGTTTGAAGTCACTCAAAAAAAAAAAAAAAAAAAGTCTTGTTCCTCTATTAACAGTGCATCACTACATGTTTTTTACAGTGCCCACTCAGGCTTAAACTTTCTTTCAGGCTTTCCCTAGCCATTTTGCTAGGAGCTGACTAGTGGTGTCTATCACTGAAAGAGACGGTAAATGAAATCACAAAAATATGGATACTCACAAAGTTATAACCATTATCCTGGAATTTGCATTTTGAGTTGAAAAAAATCTCTAAAATAGAAATTTCAAATATCAGTGACAACCTGAAATATACTTTAGGGAAAAGGAAACGTTTGAGGGTATGCCTCAACTCATACGAAGTAAAAAGCTGAGTATTCTGCCTTATGTGGTTGGTCCTGCAAAGGGGAAACTATTGGGAGAGTTTTGATCTAGGATAACTACCCTCGCTTCTTAGTTCTTTTCACTGCCAGGAAGATTCCCATGTTACTATCGAAATATTAGTAGCAAAGGATTAAAAAAATCAACAGAAGCAATATACTACTTTCCCCCAACAGTAACACATGTCACACCTTGTATCACAAGGTTACGGTCCTTTCCTTTATTGGGTTTCTGAATTTAAAAAAGTAAAGCAATCATTAAGTGGTTCAGATAAAAGAAAAGCATCTTTACCTGAGTTACCCATTAGGTCTACTCTGACCTGCCCTAGCTCCTCCCAGAACAAGTTTCTGGGTATCTACGAAAACTATTTCCATACTGACTCCATTTAAAGTCATCTCTACTATATGGGTCAACTATGAGAACAATTCTTCTCATACATATACGTACACAGATTCTCACCCACAACTGAATCTCTCACTGGAGCAAACTTCCCAGCAGAATGGATTCTTTGGGGCTCAGTAAGATAGGAGCTTCTAGCAAAGCTTTTTTCAGACTCAAGGTATTTATGGGGCTTTTCACTTATGTGAGTTCCCTGATGTACCACAAGAGCTGATCATTGACAAGTTTTTCTCATTCAGACACCTGTTACAAGTCTTTCCTCAGATTGTTGTGTTTTTTTTTTTTTTTGAGGGGGTGCAAATCCAAGTAAGGCTCTCCAACTAATGCTTTTGCCACACTTGAGACAAATATACATTTTTTCATCAGTATGGCTTCTCTGATGGGTAAGAAAGTCAGAGTTCTGTTAGAAGCTTTTTTCATACTTGCTAAGGTTTCTCCCCAAGGTGGGTTTTCTTAAAGTCCAATGAGATGTGCATACTGTCTGAAGCACTGTTGACACTGAAGGCGTTTTAAAAGTTGTTCTCCGGTGTGAATTCTCTTACAACGAGGAGGGCTGAGCTCTGCTAGAAAGCTCTCTCATACTCACTGCATTCGTAAGGTTTCTGACCTGTATGAATTTTCTCATCAGTCATGAAATTTGAGCGCAGACTGAAGGTTTTCCAAAACTCCAGGTATTTGTAGAGTTTCTCATTGGAGTGACTGATAAGGTATTCTGTTAGGGCAGCTCTCTGGGCAAAACATTTCTTGTATTTCCTACAATTGCAGGCTTTCTGGTCCCCACTGAATTCTGAGCTTTGGAAAGTCTAGATTTGCCTAGGGTTCTTATCTTAATGAGTTCTCTGACATGTAAATACATTTTTATGGTATTATAACTTGTCTGGTTAAGACATCTGTGAGGCTTCTGATGCATGGGGAGGGCTGAGCTCAAGACCTTTCTCACCCATATTACAGATATATGGTTTTTCACCAATGTGTACTGTCTGATGTTGAAGAAGGGCTGAGCTCTGGTGGAAGCTCTTATCACATACACTGTATTTATAATGTAGCTCTTCTGTCTGAGTTCTCATTTTCTGTTGTGCAACAAAGTCCATACCTAGGAGGAAGCCACTCTCACATGTAGACCACTGGTGTGGCTTCTCTTCCATGTGAATTCTCTGATGCACTATAAGGTCTGAGCTACAGTTGAAACTTTTCTCATATTCAAGGCATTTAAAAGTGTGAGTGTGAGTTGCCTGATGCCTAATTAGGTTGGCGCTCCGAGTAAAACTTCTCATACATTCCAAGCATTTATACGGCTTCTCACCTGTGTGCACTCTCTGGTGCACAATAAGGTCTGATTTCTGGCCAAAGCATTTCTCACAGGCACCACACTTATAGGGCTTTTCCCCAGTATGAACTCTTTTATGTACAATGAAGGCTGAACGGTGTCGGTAACTTTTCTCACACTTATTACATTTGTAGGGCCTTTCACCAGTGTGAGTTCTCTGGTGGCTAATAAGATCTGATTTCCCACTAAAAGCTTTTTCACACTCCAGACACTTAAATGGTTTCTCACCTGTGTGAGTTCTTCGGTGCCTTATGAGGTTTGTACTTCTACTAAAGCATTTATCACACTCACTACATAGATACGGTTTCTCGCCTGTATGGCTTCGCTGGTGGACAAGCAGATCAGAACTCTGACCAAAATTCTTGCCACAAATGTCACATGTATAGAATTTTTTACCTGCATGTGTTCTCTGGTGTCCTGAAAGGGCTAAGTGATGCCAAAAGCTCTTCTCACACTTGCTACATTTATAAGGTTTCTCATAATTGTGGATCCTCTGGTGTGAAATAAGATCTGAGCTTTGGACAAAGGTTTTCTCACACATATCACATCTATAAGGTTTCTCCCCAGTGTGCGTTCTCTCACACATAATAAGAGCTAAATTTTCACAGAAGTTTTGCTCGCATTCAAGGCACTGATATATCTGATCATCTATTTGAGTAATCTCATGCACACGAATAAAAATCTTTTTACCCTTCTGAGGGCATACATGATATAGTTTCCTTTTTTGAGTTCTCTGATTACATCTCTCTTCTGAAGTGTACATTTTCTATGGCTCTCTCCTAAGGAGTTTTCCACTGGTCTTCTTGACCCATCACTGCCTTCGTAGTCATTTTCTTGATAAGAACTTAGAAGATACATCTGTTTCACGCCTTTCAGTCATGAGCCTCTATATGTTTCCAGCATCGCATACACTATTTCCAACCCTGTGAGACAAAGTAGAAATATTATTTATATTCCTATAACTAAGAAAAAAATCCTCAAAATTAAAATCACTGCAGAAAAGATAGAAATTCTATATCAGAGTCTGTCTTCTAGGTTTTGACATAGATTGAAATCAGCCATTTAGTTTTCCCCTTTAATAATAATATAAAACTGATCAGCAATACATATGGGAAACTAACAGTAAAAATTCTTTCTTTAATGAATCTGGGTAATCTCAAAACCAGGACTCTTCTTCCTCTTGCTTCAGTTGAGAAATCAAGACAGGTCTAATAATTAGTATGCCTGTTCATACTAATGAAGAAAGCAAACCAAAAGGGACTGCAAATGACTATCTCTGTAGTGCTTTCTGTAGAAAGGTTTGGAAGGAAATGGTTAATGACCATTAGCATTCCCAGTGCCCAGCCAGAGAAGTAAGGTTCCTACGACTCTATCTTCCTAGCTGGGTGATATTAGACTTGTTTCTTAACCACTCTGTGTCTAGTTTGCTCATCTGTAATATGAGTTGAGTTAAATAACAAATCACTGCTGACCTCATGGTAAGCACTGTGTATTAGCTCTTATTATCATTATTATGATAAAAGGGCCTAAGATTCTGCTTTGATATAATCATATAAACACAAACTTTGCTCAAAAACGAAAATCCTGATTGATTACAGATAAAAGCCTAGGTTTGGAACACAGCTTTTATACCAGGCTTTTCTGTGTATAGTGAAGAGTTGTGAAAAAATGTTATTTTCTTCATTATGAAGTTTAGAAGAATACACACTTATAGAAATGCCTAAGGATTGAGCATCTTAAAAAAAAATAAAAATCTTTATACACAGAAAGATCACAGTGATATAATCCTTTTATAACATTAAGAGAAAGGGCCCTCTGCTCAGACTCCAAATGCTCTTACTCCTTTTGAGTAAGGGATGCAGCCACATCTTCAAGTGACTAGGAGATGAAAATGGAGAGAGAGATTGAAATCTTTCTACTCAAAAGCTGTTTTCCCTAAGGCTACAACACTACATGAGTTAAAGATATCATGCCCAACAGGAAATACAGAAATGTAGACTACTGCTAATAAAAGAAAGTTGGGTTGATTCAAGAGAGAAGTTCATAGGGAGTAATGAGTCACTATGTTTATGAACTGTCAACTATACATTAAAAAACAAACGTGAGAAACCAAAGGGGAGGAAAGGCTATTTTTCCACATCCTTCACATTTACTCTGTTCAGTAATCTTTTCATACATTTGATCCTCTCATACATTCAGCACCCCCATCCTTCACCTAAGAATATAAGCTGACACATTTTGCTTCTTATATTACTAAGAAAAGGGAAGCAAGCAAGCAAAACAACAATAAAACACAAACACAAACACCAAACCAAAAAACCCTTCCACATGCTCCCACCACATCAACCAACCTTTTACAAGTGTGGTCAAACACTCCATCTTTCCATCTCCATCTTTCACAATGTCACCATGGATGACAAAATGCCCCTGCTCAATCTGAGGACAGCCTTTCCATCTATATACTGGATTTTACCCCCTATCTTCACAAGGACACCACTCCAGCAATTCTACCCATCCTCTCCTGTGTTATCAATTTATTCCTTTCCATTGGATCATTCTAATTAGTATACTGGCTATTATCTCTTCTAAAAAACAAAAGCAGAACCAACAAGAAAACTTCTCTTGGCCACCTCAACCCTGAGCTTCTATCCCATTTCTCTGTTCTTCTTCAGAGTAAAACTCCTCAAAATAAACCAATCTGTTAATTGTCTCCAATTCTTATTTTCCGAGGTTTCTGGAACATACTCTAATCAGATATCCACCCTCACTATTCCACCAAAACTGTTCCTGTTAGAAACCTACAAGATCCTAAGATATCTGATTCTTAGTTATCACTCTGACTGATTTCTCTGCTCTTCCCCTACTTACTCAATGCACTCCAGTTAACCTGGGTCTTTGCTGTTGTTCAAACAAGCCAGATCCACTCTGATTTCAGGGTCTCTGTCCTTGCTATCTCTCCCTGGCTGGAAGATGAAGGGCTCATTTTCCAGGTATTTTCAAGGTTCCCTCCCTCACCTCATGGAAATCTCTGCTCAACTGTCATATTCTCAGTGAGGCCATTTCCAACTATCTTATTTTAAATTATAACACATCTCCATTCCAGCTGACTCATACAAACAACACTCCTCTCCTTTCCTGTTTTGTTTTTCTCCATAGAATGTAAGCTTGTAAAGGACAAGGGTTTCTTGTCATTTCATTCACTGCTGCTTCCCTAGCACCTAGAAAATTCCTTGACATGTAGTCAGTGTTCAAACCTAGAACAGAAATTCTTATTTAGCATCAATGGACTCCTAAGATAACCTATGAAACCTCTGAAACTGACTGAAAAATATCATTCAGTGTATGTGCTTTTTTCTGGGGAGAAAGTCCACAGTTCATTAAATTCTCAAACAGGTCCAATATCCAATGTGTGGAGCCTATATATATATTCATTTGTAAAGGAAATAATATTAACACATTGACTACCACACAAAAAACCCAGAAACTTTTCCTTGGGGCAACAGTGTTTTATTATGAAAATAGAATAAAAATTTTGATTGTAATTTAAAGGTAAACATAAATAGAAAAAATGAAATTTATTGACCTCTATTCATTTAATCCACATTTTTAGAATTAAATTGCCAATATTAACTGTAACAATAAGAACATCTATAAGATTTTATATATGCTTCCCATGGTCCCAGGGTCAAAACTAGGGTGAGTTAAATACAATTCTCATGGTAGTTAATGTGTTAAAGCTCATTGAATACAGCACACTAGTAAGTATAATCGACTAGAACTCAACTGAACCACCTGCACACACAGAAAACAGTGAGTCAAAATGATATTGCAGGCTTTGAGGGTTGATTATGGCAGTGATAAAGTATACTCTGGTCTTAATAGTCTAAGGAGTTTTTCTATGTACTAGAAGATATGGTACTAACATGATTATCTCCGGGAAATGAGGTGACAGATGACTTTCTATTTCATCCATTTGCTAACCACAGTTTTCTAATTTCCATTCAGCAATTTGTATACTTTCCTTGTGAAAGGCACAGAGACTACTCTTGTAATAAGTGAAAGTTATCTATAAACATAAAAATACATAGCAAGGCTTCAAATGTCAATACAGAAATGTACTTTAGGGGATAGGAGAAAGAACTGAATGGGGTGGAAGTAGTGCAGTTTCTTCAGAGTCAAGCCATAGATTCAATACAGCATTGTGATCACAGAGTAACAGAATGGGAAAAAAAGGTGTTGCAAGGCTAATAACAGGGAAGTTATTAAACAGTCTTTGAGAAAATAGATAAGCTTAATAAAATAGAAGTGTTTATGTGAAATATGATGACTATAAATCTTACATTTCAAACATATCATATGTCCATGATCTATGAAATGTCCTAGAAATTACATTTTTTTGGTTCAAATTACATCTTTCAGGTGATTCTCATAGCATCACAGAAGAACTCCTTAGACTGTAAGACCAGAGTATATTTTGTCCCTGCCACAATCAATCCTCGAAGCCTGAAGTATCATAAAGAGTGTTACTATTTTCTTATACTAAACTGCATTTGTAAAGCTAAATGCCAAGTATCTGTTTTTGCCTTACAGTCAAAGGAAGTGAGCAAAGGACCTACACTGGGGCTGAACTCCAGATCTACTCCAGCCATCACCTGCCTCATTTTTGTTATGGCAAATTCACCCTTTATTTCCTAAGGCTAAAACTTTGGAGTCATCCTGCACTCTTCTCTCTCACACTGCACAATCAAGCAGTCAAATTTGTTGGCTCCATTTCAGATTTCATCCAGAATCTAACTTCTCACCAGTTTCTGCTACCACCCTAGTACAAATTAGTCTTATCACTTCTCACTTTCACAATGGCCTAAGAGGCCCCATTTGAGCTGCCCCACCAGCCCCTGTCACTGCCTCTTTGACCTCCTTTCTTATTATTCTTTTCTTTGCATAGTCCAATCCAGCCACAATGGCTTCCGCAAATATGTCCTCATCCAGACATATTCCTCTTAAGGTCTATGCCGTTCCTTTTTTCCGCCTATAGTCTTTTCTCTTCGGATATGTGCATGGCTCTCTCTTAATTCCTTTGATGACTATTTTTTCAGATGTCATTTCTCAGGGAAGCCTTTACTGACCACTCTATTTAAAAACCTGTGAATTTTCCCCATGTTCCAGCATTTCTTATCCCCTTTTTCTGCTTTACTCTTCCCCACTGCACTTATCACCTTCTAACATACTATGTAATTCACTTATTGGTACACTGTCCATTGTTAAAATAAGGCAAGGATGTCTGATTTGTTTGATGTTCTTTTTCTAGTATACAGAATAGTGCCAGGCACGAAGTTAGTGAATGAATTATCATTGAAATTCTACTTCTCTCCTTATCCAATAAAAGAAAAGGACTGACCACCACAGGGGATGGGAGCTACTCTGATGAGAAGCAGTATACAAAACAGAAGGAGACTAAAGTAACTGTAGCTTACCTAGAATTCAGATGGAAGAAAACATTCACTTCCTGGTTGTGAGAATTTGATTTCTCAAGGAGAATAGCATTCTGTAAAACATAAGGATAAAAAGCCATAAATGTGAGATTTAGCATTAGATCATTTGCATTCAAAGGACCTAACAATGTCTAAACTAAATTTAAAAAGAACAGATGGGTTTTCTTATGTAATTCCTTAAGTTCAATTCTGTAGAGAATAGCTATAAGTCCTAAACCATCCTATCCGACTCTTTGGAAAAAAGGACAATAAAGAATCTATAATCCATCTGCACAATCTATAGCTTATAACAATGTTGTTATAGATTATAACGACATTGAAGGAAAGGGCCCTTAAACACTCAATCTCAGGGTACTCTAAAAACACTAAGGCATCATCTCGCCCACAGGAACTCAGGTTGTTCTGATCTAAGGTACAATAGGGCTCTACAAAGTATAATTGGGACTACAACAAAACCACCACCTATCACTGGAGGCCACGCAATCATCACAATTTTGTTTTTTCAAAATTTACAACAGCCTAAGTTGATCTATATTTCAGACATAACTCAGGAGGTAGTTAATAATGGACACAAAAAGAAGTCAGAGAGCACAGTGGTTAACACTGACGTCTTTCTTTCCTCAGAAGCTTTAATCTGCCTTATTCTTAGTTACTGAGACTTTCAGTTCCCTAAACAACCTTTCTGCTCCTATGGATTAGAAGGAAAAATGAAACTATTTCGAGCCAAACAATATATAGGTATATGACACTTAGCCCATAGCTGCCAGTATTAAGATGACAGTTCTAGTACCAGGTAAGACAGAGTAAACACATGCCAACCCGATTCTTCCCACTGTATACAACTATGAAATCTGGACAGAATCTATGACCTAGCTATTTGAGAACTCTGAAAAGTAAACAGCAAGCAGATCAGGGAAGACCAGAATTTAAAACACCATCCAACTAGCAGTGACTTTACTTTTTTTTTTTCGGTCCCCTCAGTATCCTCTGGCCTGAACTCAATGCAGCCTGAAATGAAGATGTGAGGGAAACTGTAAAACATAATTGTCAACTGAGACTTTTCAAAAAGAAAACCTATGAACTTCCACACCAATTTTTGAAAACTGACTTCCCATGGAAATCAATGGACAGAAAACTGACTTAAATATGGAAAAAAAGAAATAAAATATTTCTAGTGGAAATACAAAGAACATGTTAAGAAAACAAAGTCAGAGGGGATAATGGTGGCTGCAAAAATCCAAATCTCTCAACCCATCCTTTAAAGCAATAAGAACGATAAGAAGAAATATACTACACAGAGCTCACATTGTCACCAAATCCCAGCTATCACATTCCAGCCACTAGCTATCAATGAGAGCAAGGATAATCTGGGAATTTGAGGTAAAAAGATGAGGAGAGGTAGCAGTGGATAAGATTGACCTAAAATTTACTACCAGAAAGAAGAACCCACCCTAAGTACAAAAAAAGGAAAGAGTTCTGATTAGAGCAGGATATAGGAAAGAGATTTACAGTACACACAGGACTTGAAGAGGCAGTCCTGGAAAGGCAATTCTTCAGGCAACAAAAGAATAAAAAGGAAGAGCGGGAACTCTTTGGAATCTGCACAGTGAAGGAGAAAAGAAATAAGATGGGGAAACTTGAGGTCCTTTAAGATTTAGGAAAATTTTTTTTAAAAAGTATCATCTTTCCCCTGACTATGCTCTAAAAATACTATCAAAGTTAAAAAAAAAAAAAGCAACTTTACAAGGATGACAAAAGGGGGAACTACTGAATTAGTAACCTTATTACACATTTTATAATGTGTAATAAAAAAAATTAGAAGAAAGAGGGAAAGAACTAAGTAAATAAATTAACTTCATTAATTACAGTAATTTCCCCTTATTCACTGTTTCACTTTCCACAGTTTCAGTTACCAATGGTCAGCTGAGGTAAAAAATATTGAACAGAAAATTCCAGAAACAAACAATTTATAAGTTTTAAATTGCATACTGCTATAGATGGTATAATGAAATCTGTCACAATTCTGCTATCTGTCCTTCCTGGTATGTGAATCATCCCTTTGTCTAGCATATTCACCCTGTACAGACGGTCCTGTCTTAATGATGTTTTGTCTTAAAATTCTTCATCTTTACAGTGGTGTGAAAGTGATACACATTTAGTTGAAACTGCAGTTTGAGTATCCATACAACCTTTCTGTTTTTCACTTTCAGTATAAGTACAGTATTTAATAAATTACATGACATGTTCAACATTTCATATAATTTAGGCTTTGTATTAGGTGACTTTGTCCAACTGTAGGCTAACATAAATATTCTGAGCACGTTTAAGGTAGGCTACACTAAGCTAAGATGTTCAGTAGGTTACATGCATTAAATGCATTTTCAACCTAGGATATTTCAACTTGATGAGTTTTGAGTTTACCAGGTCTCACTCCCATTAAGGAGCATCTGTATACGCTAATCACCTGTTAGTCACTTAATAGCTGTCTTGGTTATCAGATGACTGTCATGGTGTTACAGTGCTTGTGTTCCAGTTATTCTTATTTTACTTAATAATGACCCCAAAGTGCAAGAGTGGTAATGCTGGCATATTGTTTCAATTGTTCTATTTTAATATTAGTTATTGTTAATTTCTTAATATGCCTAATTTATAAATTAAACTGTATCACAAGTATAGAAAAAAACCATAGTCTATATAAGGTGAAGTACTATCTGCAATTTCAGGGTGCCCACTGAGGGTCTTGGAATGTATTGCCTGTGAATAAGAGAGGACTCCTTACTGTATTTATATTAACAGCAGGCAAGAGATAAAGGATACTATTAAAAACTAAAAAGAAACACAGATAATTAAAGGTTAAATACAAAATTGTGACTAAAGGCATTACAAAAGATCTAAGTACAAATGTAGCCAATATAACAAATATCAAACATTCAAAAAAAGTTATGAAAGAGCAATGAAAACATACTATGTAAGGAAAAAAAAACCTGGACAAATATAACACGATGCAATTGTAAGTAATATGACAGTGTTAAGACCAAACATCAATCATCTGAATGAATATGGATGAGGCTGACACACCTATTAAAGAGATATTCACCTTGTCTCACAAAGCAAGAACTATATAATAAATACAAGAGACACCTAGATCAAAGTGATTCAGAGAGGCTAAAAATAGAGATGAGAAAAGGAACACAAGGAAATAAAAAACAATAAAAGTAGGGCTTGCAATCCTGGTATTAGGCAAAAGAGAGCTCAAGCCAAAAAGCATTAAACATAAAAAAAAACACTTTTTAAATTACAGTAAAGCTTGTAACTGTCATAATTATCTATGTACCACATTACACAGCAGCCACAATTTACAAAGCCAAAACTGTAAAAGATAAAAAAAAAAAAACAGGAAAGCTTAACATACTACTCTTAGTAAAAGACAAAGTGGGCCAAAAATAAGTAATGATGCAGAAGGCCTAAAGAATCTAATTAAAAAGTTCAATATATATTGAACCTTACACCCTGAAAATAATGAGTTCACCTTCTTCTCAAGCACACACGAATCATTCAAAAAAAATCTGTCACAAATTAGATCATATAGAAGGGATCGAGTTCCATAAACTGGCATATTATAAGAAACACTTTACAGTAAAACTAGAAACTCATTAAAATATCACATAACAAAATGTCCTCTCAAATGTGAAAAAAATAAACTATTAACTCTTCAGTGAAAGGGGAAATGAAAAATTGAAAAAACCAAATTTCTAAATGTTGATAATTAAAAATATTACATATTAGAATCTAAGGAATCAATTAATTAATTAATTTTGAGACAGAGTCTCACTCTGTTGCCTGGGCTAGTGTGCTGTGGCATCAGCCTAGCTCACAGCAACCTAAACTCCTGGGCTCAAGCAATCCTCCTGCCCCAGCTTCCCAAATAGCTGAGACTACAGGCATGCGCCACCATGCCTGGCTAATTTTTTTAAATATATATATACTTCTTAGTTTTCCAGCTGATTTCTTTCTATTTTTTTGGTAGGGAGAGGGTCTCGCTCTTGCTCAGGCTGGTCTCGACTCTTGAGCTCAAATGATCCTCTCACCTCAGCCTCCCAGAGTGCTAGGATTACAGGCGTGAACCACTGCGCCCAGCCAAGGAATAAATTTAAAGCAGTGATCAAAATAATATTCATAGCCTTAAACCCTTTTTTTTTTTTTAAGAGACAGGGTCTTGCTTTTTGCCCAGACTGCAGTGAGTGCGGTGGCCCAATCATAGCTCCCTATAGCTATGCTCCTGGGCTTAAGAGATCCTCCTGCCTCACCCTCTCAAGTAGCTGGGACCACAGGCATACATCACCATGCCAGGCTATTTTTTTTTTTTTTTTTTTTTGTTTGAGACAGAGTCTTACTCTGTCACCCTAGGTAGAGTGCAGTAGCATCATCATAGCTCACTGCAACTTCAAACTCCTGGGCTCAAGTGATCCTCCTGCCTCATAGCTGGGACTATATAGGCATATGCCACCACGCCTGGCTAATTTTTTCTGTTTTTGGTAGAGACAGGGTCTCGCTCTTGCTCAGGCTGGTCTTGAATTCCTGAGCTCAAGCAATGCTCCCACATTGGCCTCCCAAAGTATTAGGATTACAGGCATAAGCCACCAAGCCTGGCCAATTTTTTTTTTTTCTTTTTTAAAGAGATGGGGGGTTTTCTGCACATTGTCCAAGCTGGTATTCAACCCGTGGCCTCAAGCAATCCTCCCACCTCAGCCTCCTGAGTAGCTGGGATTTCAAGTGGCAGCCACCATGCCTGGCTCTTGGACACTTGTTTTTAATCAATAAAATTAAATCCACTTTAATCAGGGTAAAAAAACCTTTTCTGTCATTTTACTAAAAATAAAAACATTTTGTATTTCTTTTTGTAAAAGAAATTAAAGTCAAAAGCCAGTGGACAAACTTAGAGAAAACAGTGTAACAATATTTGAGATAAAGGGATAATATACTTAGCATATAAAGATTTCTTTAAAAGTTGAGGGAAAACAACAAAAACCTGATAGAAAACCAGGAAAAAGAC